CTTTGTATTCCTCTTTCCTTTGGAGCTTCTTTTTTCTTATCCACACATCTCTGCCACCATCTATACTTCTTCCCTCCCCCACTCCACCCCAGTCTTTCTTTTCTCCTCAAACTCCTGGTTGCATCACTGTTTTTTTCAGTCCTATGCATAATAAGTTAAAGACAGAGTTATGAGACTCAAATGAGTTTTAGGATTCCTTTTACAAGTATATCAAATCCAAATAAGTATGGGCACCTTAAAAGTAGTTGTCCTAATATCGTATATTAAGGCATATGTATGTAATCTAGAAAAAGGTACTGATAAACCTATTTGCAGGACAGGAATAGAGACACAGATGTTGAGAATGGACTTGTGGGCACGGTGGGGGAAGGAGAGGATGGGATGAATTGAGAGAGTAGTATTGATATATACACATCACCATGTGTATGGTCTTCCCTGTAGCTCAAGTGGTTAAGGGTTCTCCTGCAGTGCAGGAGACCACGATTCGATTCCTGGGTCAGGAAGATCCTCTGGAGAAGGGAATGGCAATCCACTCCAGTATTCTTGCCTGGAAAATCCCATGGACAGAGGAGACTGGCAGGCTACAGTCCGTGGGGTCGCAAAGAGTCGGACACTACTGAGCGACTAACACTAGGTATAAAATAGATAGCTGGTGGGAAGCTGCTGTAGAGCATGGGAACTTAGCTCTGTGATGACCTAGAGAAGTGGGATGATGCGGAGTGGGCGGCAGGGAGGCTCAAAAAAGGAGGGAATTTATGTGTACTTGTGACTGATTCACGTTGTTATGGCAGAAACCAACACAACATTGTTAAGCAATTATCCTCCAATTAGAAACAAAGAAAACAAAAGCAGGAAAAAAAAAAGTAGTTTTGCTAGCTGACTACCTATTTATTCCAGAAGTTCTGTCATTACTCAAATATTTCAGTCACTTATTATGTTGAGCTGCTCTCAAAACTAGTCTGAGCCCTACGAAAAGACCAGTTTCACTTCCTTATAACCACACTGAGTATTTCAGGAGTCTTGCCACTCTGCTTTTCTCATTTGTCTTCCTATTTCCAGTTCTCTTTTTAATGTATTGCTCTAGTCCCCAAGCAAGAGGAGTTATGGGTTCAGTGGGGCTCAAAGTACAGGGCAAGGCTTATGGGCATAGAGAGCCCAGCAGGGAAGGGAAGTTGGCCTGGCTCAAAAAACCTTGACCTTTAAACAAAGCATGCTTAAACAGCTCTTTTTAGTCTGTCCTTTCCTGTGTCCCATTTCTGCTCTGTGACTCCTCACCCACCTTTGTAACAGAAAAGAGCCATCAAATCCTCAGGCTGGGTCATAACCTTGAATTGCCTAACTCTCAGGGGTAACGGGGAGAACCACAGACAGAGGCCCTTCTGAGGCTTCCTTTCCTTCTGCCCCTGGGTGTTTAGTTAATGTTCTACCAGCACTTCCCACTTGTCGGGGGCCATGACTATACTCCAGCCCCACATTACTGCTCAGGGCAGAGGGCACTTTGTCCAGACAGCTTTGATTCCAGAGAGACCTGCCTCTGAGCTTCACACTTCACCTTTGAGTCTGTGTCCTCTGTGGTCTTGTATCTTCTCAGGTCTCAGGCTCTGGCTCTCCACATTCTCTTCTTCTGTTCCTCACGGTTCTTTGGGGGTGAAAATGAAAATGTCTGCTAATGGAGGAAAAAGAAATTAGTTCGCACAGCAAATAACAACCTAAAGCTGGGCTCCCTGCCCATTGTGACTCCCTGTCCTCCCCAGCAGTTTCTGAGCACCAAACCCCAGTGAGGTGTTAGCTGATTGTACCAGTATGTCTCCAGGATCTCCTTGGTGTTGGGACTATGTTTGAAGAGTTTATGTTCTGGGTATCCTCAGAACTGGACTAGCACTTTTTGTATATATTGTTAAATTACTTAGCAATATATTTGTTGGAATATCTCCTCTTGTGTTATAATCTTCTGGAGAGCAAGGGCTTTTTTGTCTTAAAAATGTCAAATAGTTGCAAAAGTAAAGCTAATAATACAGTGAGTCTACTGTACTCATCACGTAATTTCAGCAATTATCATTTCATGGCCAATCTTGTTGCTTCTATACTCCCCTCTCCAACCTGGATTGCTTTATTTTTTAAATTTATTTTTAATTGGAGGGTAATTGCTTTACATGGTTATGTTGGCTTCTGCCATATGACAGGGTGAATCAGCTATGCATGCGTGCATGTGTGCTCTTAGTCACTCGGTCGTGTCTGACTCTTTTGGGACCCCATCCACTGTAGCCAGCCTACCAGGCTCCTCTGTCCATGGGATTATCCCAGCAAGAATCCTGGAGCAGGTTTCTATTTCCTTCTCCAGGGAATCTTCCCAACCCAGGGATTGAACTTGAACCTGCATCTCTTGTGGCTCCTGAATTGACAGTCGGATTCTTTACCACTGAGCCACCTAAGTATACATATATCCCCTCCCTATTGGGCCTCTCTCCCAACTCGCCCCCATCCTACCCACCCATCTTGGTCATCAAAGAGCACCAGACTAAGCTCCCTGTGTTATATAGCAATTTCCCACTAGCCTCCAGGTCTGGATTGTTTTGAAGCAGATCCTAGATATCAAATCATTGCATCTGTAAATATTTCAGTCATATTACTAAAATGTAAGGGCTCTTTGAAAGACACAATCATAATACCATTGTTACAGTAAGAGGTAATGCTTCCTCAGTGCCATAAAGTTTTCAATATTCAAATTTCTGCAATTACCTCCTCATTTCCCCCTTTCCTTCCTTGCCCATTTTTGTCACTCCTGCATTTGTTTTTGTGTCTCCCCTGATTTTCCTTTTTTTAATTTAAGTAGAATTTTTTGAATAACAATCCAAATAAGGGCTTTATTTCGTAATCATCACGTTCTCAGCAAGTGACTTAGTGTTTGTCATATAGTAAATCCCCAGTAAATGATAATGAATGAATGAATCATCAGAAGTCTATAACATCTCATGGTTGAATTAGTGCAGCCTTACCTTCGCTTTTGGTTGGTTTGTCAGGATGGCTTTTGGTTTCTGATGACTTTAGCTAGGAGTTAACTTTGGTGCTAGCTACTATCAGTGCCTGTGAACGTTACCAAAGGTCTGAGGGCAATGTATGCACCTGTGACTCAGATTTACAGGTGAGCAGGGAAGGGGCCCTTGCTTTATCTCGGTTTTTTGTCTTCAGTGTCTTATAATATCAACTTGACTTTGGACCAAATACCTTTGGCTTTTTTTGTTGTTTCTATAGAAGAGACCCTGAAGGAGCTCCCTGAGAACAAGAACAGCTTCCGTATGCTGCTGTTGTAGGCAGCATTCTAGGATGGACCCTCAAGACTTACTCCCAATCCCTGGACTGTGAATATGTGATGAGTAATCGTGTGGGTGATTGTGTTATGTTACGTGGCCAAAGGGATTTTGCAGATGTACAGTAAATATGGTTACTCATCAGTTGATTTTGAGTTTAACAAAAAGAGATGTGATCTAAGTGGGCTTAATGTAATCACAGGAGCACTTTGAAAAGCAACTGTTTTTTTCTAGTTGGCCTCAGAATCGGAAATACAAGAGGGATTAGAGGGTCTTCCCTAGTGACTCAGTGATAAAGAATCTGCCTGCCAATGCAGGAGACACATGTTTGACCCCTGGTCTGGGAAAATCCCACATGCCCACATGTGGGGCAGCTAAACCTGTGTGCCACAAGTGTTGAACCTGTGCTCTAGAGCTGGGAAACTGCAGCTACTGAACTTGTGCACCTCAACTGCTGAGGCCCAAATGCTCTAGAGCCTGTGCTCTGCAAAAAGAGAAGCTGCACTGCAACTAGAGAGTAGTCCCCCTTGCCACAACCAGAGAGAAGCCTCCACAGCAATGAAGACCCAGTGCAGCCAAATAAATAAAAATTTTTTAAAAAGAGGAATTAGATTTAAGGGATATTCTCCATTGCTGAGATAGAGGGAGCCTCATGCCTGCGGTGGTTTCTCTTGTTGCAGAGCACAGGCTCAGTAGTTGTGGTGGATGGACTTAGTTGCTCCATGGCATGTGGGATCTTCTTGGACCAGGGAATCAACCAGTGGCCCCTGCAGTGGAAGGTGGCTTCTTTACCGCCAGGGAAGTCCCCTGGGTACTGATTTTATTGCTGCTTCCAGTGGTCTTGGGACGGAGGCACCACAGCAGAGGGCCAGGGGAAATCAGGGGCTGAGGAAGGGAAAGACAGCACATGTTCCAATTGCTTGGAAGTGAAGGAAATGAGATGACAGGCTAATTCTTGGTGGAATTAATAAAGGAAGGTTATCCTGGTTGAAAGAGCTCTGACTCTCTGAGGGGCAGAAAAAGGGACAGGGAACAAGGAGGCGGGACGTGCAGGAGAGATTTCTACACACCTGAGCCCATGGAGACTGTGGGAGGGAACGCTGGATCAGGCATGGGATGCCCTGGAGCCATCTACGTGGGCAGTGTGGTGTGTCCCTAGTGAAGAGCCCAGCAGACCTTTTACTCATGAAATCATCTTCTCTCCTTCTCTCCCAGAGGAAGACAGGCAGGTCCTTCCAGGCAGGTTGGAGCAGTGACCTATGGCTCTAGGTGGACGCACTTTGTCAGCAGGTGTGCACATGAATTTATTGAGCTCTCGGATCCCAGGATCAAACACCCCTGGACTTAGAAACAGGCTCACTCTGACTCTCTGTTGAGCAATTTCTATTTCTTCTGCCTGTAAAGAAGGCAATGTAGAAAGCAGTACCAACTATGAGGCAGCATGTTGATATCTGATACACAATATTTATTATAAATATAGAGCAATTTTTACAAATCATTCAGAAGTGGCCTCAGCCAGGCAAAATTAAATTATGCAGAAGTGCTTGCATGAGTGGAGGTGTACACAGTCTGTATCAGGGTGAGAAAACCCTGAAAGAGGTACCTGAGTACTGAGCGCTCCCAGCCACCCCTCTTGGGGGGCAGTTCCACACAGCAGGAGGTCCGTCATGAAGGTGGAATAAAGTCTTTCTCTCAGCAGCCCGAGGTGGCCCCGTCTGTGCAGAAGGCTGGTGGGAAGCAGGGGCGCCTCTCCTCTTCCCATCCTCCCTTTCTGTGCTGACAATTGGGTCCCATGCACCCCATGGGAGAAGAATTCCAGAGGCTCTTCAAGAAACCCAGGGCTGAGTCATAATCTGCACCTTGTGTCCTAAGGAGCGTGCACACCAGTGTGGCTTCCTGGGCTGTAAACAATGCTAACAGCACAAGGGGCCGTGTTCCCTTCAGGGCGCTCCTGCTTCTCAAGAAGGCGTCCTGAGAAGGTAAGCGGGGCAGACGGACAGAACAGACACAGGCGGGAACACGGAAGAGAAGGGGGTTGATGACTGGCCTGAGATGCCTAGAAACGGAGTGAGACCCATTTCTGGCCATGAAGTTGGGCAACTGCTACTTCTTATTTTCTGTGCGGAGCCCCTGACACAAAAGGCTTAGGGAGCTCATGGCCAGGGGGACATGAGGGGCTTTGGTAGGTTCTTCCCCCTAAAGTGGTCAGATTGGCTTATGCAGTAAATTAAACAGAACCCCTTTCACATAAACAAGCAGTTACAAAAATTAAAATGGCAGAATGTCTCAGAAGGAAGGGAAAAAACAACCAATACCCCCAAATTGTACATTCTTTGACCATTATTTAAATAATCTCTGCAGGGTAACTTTCTGAGTCCTTTCCCCAATCTCAGCAGATTGTATCTGGTAAGAGCTGACTGCCCCATAAACCGATGACCCCTCAATCTCTGGGCATTGCCTTGAATAAAGCCCACAGTATTATTAAAACAGTATGTGCGGTTTTTTTGTTTGTTTTTGCCGTTTCCATCAAGATACACTTATGAACGCTGAGAAGTTGTTTTCTAGTTGCTTCTAGTGGGTTCTCTGAAGGCATGCTTTCAAAGGTTTAGATGGTATTCTAGCTAAGTAATAAGTTGTTTAGTCCCTGATCCTGCAGGTAGACAACCCTGAAAGCGGACAAAGGTGTAGAACTTCCCAGCTCAGAGCTGGACATGTATGTGTCTTCCTGTGAATGGTGGGTTCACACTAGGCTTCAGAGTGCAGAAGCTCTTCGTTTTCCTTCTCCTTGCTCTTCTTTTCTGGCACAGGCATTTCAGTGGATAAGAAATAATTCTCCAGGTTATGGCAAATTCATGTTAGACTCCAATAGGACTGAGGTGGGAAGGAATGAATGTGTTCTGAACACACAAGTTTACAACTGGTCTAGGTCAGCAAATGGGGAGAGGCAGAGCTTCTGGCAACTTTCTCCCAAGGTCTGCTTTGCTAGATTTCAATGACGAGGAAGTTTTGGTTTCCTACAGACCTCCTCGTGGATGTGCCTTTTTATCCACTGACACTGAAGGAAGGGGCTGTGATCAGGCAGCCTGGAGGAGCCTCATTAGGGATCGAAAGGGCTGGGGGAATACTGTCTCCTCATTTTCCCTGAGGGCAGAGGGATCTCCTGGGGATGGAGGTGGGAAGCTTGGAATAGGTCAACAGTGCAACAAGCAGGACAGGTTCCATTACTGTTTTTTCACTTCTGAATAAATTGTTTCTGTATGTGTTGGAGATGGGGAGGCTGAAGTTGCTTTCTTTTTTAATTCCTGGGCATTGAAGTTCAGGGAGGAATATTCAACTTCATTAACCTGAAAGGCATGAGCAGCAGTCAGTTAAATCAGCATCATAGGCCACACCCTCACCTTGTCCAGGGTCACTCAGCATCCCATGCTCTTACCACTTGAAACTTTTAGCTTCAGAGAAGGGCTTTTATTTTTCTATTTTCTCTGCTTAGTAACATCCTATTGAATAATCATTAGAACATTATGGATGATTATGGAATTCTACAATGGAATACCATGACATAGCAATAAGTAGACAATAAAGGCACACAACCATATGAATGAATCTTGCAAAACAATTTTCAATGAAAGAAGCCAGACCCATGTACACAGTGTGTTTTTCAGTTCTATAAGCCCATAATCAGGTAAAAGTAATCTAATGCATTGGAAGTGAAGATAGTCCTTACTCTTCAGAGGGAAGTAACTGGAGCATTGTGTGTGTGTGTGTGTGTGTGTGTGTGTGTGTGTTGAGGGGGATTGATTTTTTTTTAAATGATTGGTACTGTTTACATAGATATGAACAACTTGTGGAAACTTACACACTGTTAAAATTATTAGGTTGGTCAGAAAGGTCATTCAGGTTTTTCCATAAGATTTCACGGAAAAACTCGAACAAACTTGGATCAACCCAATACTTATGATTGACACATTTTTCAGTTTATATGTGTATTCTGTTGAAGATTAAGATGAGGAAAATTCAGTAAAAGTATTAGAAGGTAAAGGAATCAAGACCTCAGGTCTATAACTTTGGAAATTATCATTTGTCAGTATCAGCAGAGTCAGACTGGAGGCAGAAGAGGGAGAATGATCTAGTGCCTTTCTTGCTCTGGCCACTGTGCTGAGTGCTTTACCTTTGTTATGTCATTTAATTCCTTTACCTCCTCTGTGAAGTAGGCAGCACACCCATTTTTCAGAGGACTCAGCTGAGGCTCTATGAGTTAAGTTACTTGTCCATGGTCCCAGCTGTGATCAAGTCCAGTGAGGTGAACTCGTGGGAGTAATGCTTCTTTGTTGCTGCAGTGAAGAACTTTGACCCAAACTGATTTCACATTTGTGTCTACAAGACTAACCCATTCTACACAGAGATATTTTCATGAGAAAAGGAGCCAGTGAAGCTGGCTGTGCTTACCTTTTCAGGTGAACTGTCAGAGTGTCCTTGACCTGGGGAACAAAGGAGAGTCATCAACCCATGAAAATGCAGAGTTGCCTTATGGCCTCAGAAAGGACTGTTCCTAAAGCTGATGTGACTTCTAGCTGAAGGAGGTGGCAGGTGGTGGGAGGGTGGGGGCCCATGATTAAGACTTAAGGATTTCTCTTCCCTCAGTCTGTGGTCCAGACCCCAGTGCATCAGACCGAGGTGGTGGTGGGGTGGGGTGGGGGTGTTGAGGGGAGGCCTCAGTGCACTTCTGAAGATTTCTACCAGTTCACAAGGCCTGAGTTTTGTCCACGTGTGTCTCAGAGGTGTGTGTCTAGGCAGCAGGCTCCAGAGGCAGGACGGGCTGAGGCCCACAGCACCCAGAGCACCAGAGGCAGGGAAACTCTCACCATAGGAGATGCCCGCATCCATAACAGAGGCAGGAGGGGGAAGGAGGTAGGATGAGGAAAGGGCTCCTGGAAACTCGGCCATCTCACGGCTGCCTGGCTTGTGTGGCCTCGGAGGGGCCATGTCTCTGGGGACTCTTCCATGACTAGGAAGGGTGTGAGGACCTGTGCCAAACTGAGGGTGGGGATTGAAATCACCTCTCATATTTCAGAAGGTAGGGGTTCCCTGGTCAGTCAGGGCACGTGGTGGAACAAACCAGCTCTCACTGAGTGAGTAGCTCTACTTACTGTGGTTGTGATCTGAGGATTTGTGCTCTGTGAGATCGCGCTGGTCAGTTGCCCTAAATAAATATCAGACACAGTGACTACTATTCCCAGGCACAGGGTCTTTGCTCCTTGAATTAGGAAGCACAGTGTCGGCATGATTCCGTGGGGCTCCTCCATGTTCATTTTTACCTTGGTTGGTCCTCTTTCTTCCTAGGACTGCCGTCCTCAATCTACCCATTACCCCCTCTCATGTTTACTCCTCTCTGGGTTACTGGGTCTTCAGAACATTTACGGCCATTCATCTCAACTGCTTCTATTTCTACCCGGACATCTTTCCACTTTTGTAGGTAGATGCTGGTTATTTCTCACTTTATTAATTGCCCAGGAGGGCTTGGGTTGTTCCTGCTTTTCTTACGTTCTCTTCCAGTCCTGTCCCTCCCTCCTCCTGCTCTTGTGGTCGACAGAGCACAGGACTCCCTTCCTCCTGCTCCTCCTTTCATGTCCTCATTAGTTTTCCTTCTTGGACCTTGGTTTCCCTGCCTGGGATAGAGGAACACAATTGGCTCTGCCCCCTCTAAACCAGATGGAGGTGGGAATAGCCATGTCCAAGAGACAGGGGGTTACAAGAAACATGAAGACCAGGGAAGAGGAGACCCATAAGAATCAGTGCCGAGAAGCAGGAAGACTGAGGAACAGATCTAGGCCAGAGACAGAGACGAAGTCTCCTTCCCTCTCCCAAGCAGGGCAGTCAGCCTCGAAGAAAGTGGAACAAGAGGAAAGGTGGCATACCGTGTAGTTTCTCTGAGGTACAGAAAATACACCAGGGCTGCTATCAGAGCCACCCCAGCCACAGCTCCAATCACGATGCCGACAATGGCACCAGCTGAGAGGTCAGAGGAACTTTCTGGTGTTGGTTTATCTGTTGTGGGAAGAAAAGAGAAGAATGAATGAAGGTGACATTATTTTACAGTGGGAGGGGCTCTGGGAAATAACTCAATATGAAATAGTCTCTACTTGTTCCTCCAAGGTATAAATTTTCTGTGGAAGGTTGCTGTGTGGTGAGTAACCGCCTATATCCTTGCGATTTTTTCCTCTCTGATTTTTTTTTTTTTTAAGGTTTTTTTTTTTTTTTTTTTTGATGTGGACCACTTTTAAAGTCTTTATTGAATTTGTTACAATACTGTTTCTGTTTCATGTTTTGGTTTTTGGCCGCCAGGCATGTGGGTTCTTAGCTCCCCGACCAGGGATCAAACCTGCGCCCCCTGCACTGGGGAGCAAAGTCTTAACCACTGGACCGCCAGGGATGTCCCTTCCTCTCTGATTTTATTTCTAGGTTGGTGACCACATTCCTCAATTCCAACCTGGCTTTTCTGCACTCATATGTTTGAAGTCTTTGGAAATGTAAGACGGACTGATGATTGTTATTTTTGTATGTTATAACTTCCCGTCTTTTCATGGTTACATCTTTATCTGGGTACCAGGTATGGTTGCCATGAATATGCACCTGTTAGGTGTCTTATGAAAGTGTGAGTTCCTGAGTCATGTCTGACTCATTGTGACCCCACGGACTGTAGCCCGCCAGGCTCCTCTGTCCATGGGATTTCCCAGGCAAGAATACTGGAGTGGGTTGCCATTTCTTTCTCCTGGGGATCTTCCTGAGCCGGGGATCTTCCCAACCTGGGGATCTTCCCAACCCAGGGATTGAACCCAGGTCTTCTGCATTGCAGGCAGATTCTTTACTCTCTGAGCCATAGGAGGTGTCTTATGGTGGGGACTTAATTGATGGAAGGCCCTCTGAATTCACTACCCCTTTGCACAGAGACCATCCTTCACACAGGTTTCCAGTAGGAATATGAAATCAATCCCAATTCTGTGAGAAATAAATTTTTTTGTGTGATGGATGACTTTTATTTTTTATTTTTTTTTCTTTTTACACTCCCCTTACCCCCATCGATGGGTGACTTTTAATTCAAGGGCTCCTTGCCAGCTTTGTAGATATTCTCTTAGAACTGCACTGCAGCCTGAAACTTCCTCCTTCCTAGGGATCCAATGTGCATCCTGCTCTGAGGACCCTCCCAGGCTCCTCCCACTCCTGCCTCACTTTCCTTCACAGGCATTTTCCACAATGAATGTCTTAGATGTCTAATCCCATCTTGGCTGCATCTCACGGAATGAAAACTATCATACTAGACATGAAACCTTGTACTCAACCCCCCTGTGTCCTCTCTTCCATATTTAGTAAGTAACATGTTCCTGTGGATCTTTGTGCTTTCCTTCCCCAAATATATAATACCTTTTGTCTGTTTTTTCTTTTTTACTTCAGTGGTCCTCACCGTTCAACTCAAGACTGAAAATCAGTGCTAATGTTAGCTATTGTTATGACATACATAATTTGTGCCAGGCTCTGTGCTATATATTTGCCAAATATCTCATTTAATTCATATAATAACCCTGTTAGATAGGCATTATTTCCATTTTATAGATGGAAAATCTGAGGTTTACAATGGTGGTAAACCTAAAGCCATATGGCTAATGAGATGTGGATCGAGAGTCAAGTAGTCCTAGGAATACCTGACTTTATATAGCCTAAAGAAGTCGAGAAGATCCCCTGGAAAAGGAAATGGAATCCCATTCCAGTATTCTTGCCTGGGAAATCCCATGGACAGTGGAGCCTGGCGAGCTATAGTCCATGGGGCCTCAAAGAGTTGGACAGGACTTAGTAACTAAACAGAAGCAACAACAATGATAATAGTAATAATTATAGCAGCTAAATTGTTTGGAAAATGTTCCCCGTGTGGGTATTTTGCTAAGGGTTTAGTTGAATATTACATTAAATCTGTGAAAAAATGCCATAAAGAAGGTTCTTTTATTGCAGTTCTCCCTTGAGGACTCTGAGGCTCAGAGAAGTTAAGAATCTTGTGCAAGAATTTATAATTGTAAATGCTTATATTAAAAAAAAATCTCAAATCAACAACCTAAATTTACAACTTGAGGGACAAGAATAAAAGCTAAACCCAAAGCTAGCAGAAGGAAGGAAATAATAATAATTAGAATGGAGATAAATAAATTAGAGAATGAAGAAACAGTAGATAGAATCAATAAAACCAGTATATTTTTCTTCAAAAAGATGAACAAAATTGACAAATCTTTAAGTAGATTGACTAAGAAAAAAAAGGGAAGATTCAAATCATAAAAATCAGAAATGAATGTGGAATCATTACTACTAATTCTACAAAAATAATACAAAGTATAAGAGTACTAGGAATAATCCTGTGCCAACAAATTGGATAACTTCTGTGAAATGGACAAATTCCTGGAAACATGAGAGCTATCAAGATGTAATCATAAAGAAATAGAATATATGAACAGACATATAAAGTAAGGAGGTTAAATGAATAATATCCTTTGACAAAAACCCACTAATCTTTTATGATAAAACACTCAAAACTGGGGAAAAAAGGAAACCACCTCAACATAATAAAGGCCATATATAAAAACCCCACAGCTAACATCATCCTAAATGGTGAGTGAACATTTATTTTTTGAGATCAGGAGCATGATAACAATGCCTGCTTTTTCCAATTGTATTCAAAATAGTATTGGACATACTATCCAGAGCAATTAGGCAAGAAAAAGGAATAAAAGATATCCAAATTGCAGAAGAAGAATAAAATTATTTCTGTTTGCAGATGACATGACCTTATATGTAGAAAATGATAAAGATTTCCCAGAAAACTGTTAGAACTAATAAACAAGTTCATCAAAGTTGAAGGATACTAAAACAACATGTAAAGATCAGTTGCAAAACAAACAAACAAAAAAAGATCAGTTGCTTTTATATAAGATATATTCAATAAGGAAGTTAAGAAAATTTTATTCTATTTTGATATTAAAAATAATATCAAAAGAACAAAATACTTAGAAATTAACAAGGAGGGTGAAAGATTTATACATTTAGGAATTATAAATAAACACTACGGAAAGAAATTAAAGAAGATGTAAACAAGAGGAATGGATAAAGAAGATGTGGTACATATATGTACCATGGAATATTACTCAGATATTAGGAGAATGAAATAATCCCATTTGCAAAAACATGGATGGACCTAGAGAGTCTCATACTAAGTGAACCAAGTTGGACAGAGAAAGACAAATATCATATGCTATCACTCATAAGTGGAATCTAATTTTAAAAAGTGATACAAATGAACTTATTTACAAAACTCAAATAGACTCAACATATTTAGAAGACAAACCTATGGTTACCAAAGGGGAAATGTGCGTGTGTGGGAATAAATGAGGAGCATGGGGTCAACATATACATACTACTATATATAAAATAAATAACCAACAAGGACCTACTGTATAGCATGGGGAGCTCTACTCAATATTCTGTAATAATCTATATGGCTAAAGAGTCTGAAAAAGAATGTATATATGTATACGTATAACTGAATCACTTTACTATACACCTGAAACTGTCACAACATTGTAAAATATATTCCTTTAAATTTTTTTTTTAAAAACAGACAAATGGCCAATAGACACATGAAAAGATGCTCAACATCACCAGTAATTAGGGGAATGCAAATCAAAACCACAGTGAGATATCACTTCTTACCCTTTAGAATGGTTATAAAAAAAAAAAGGAAACAGAAAACAAGAAGTATTTGCAAGGATGTGTAAAAATTGAAACTTTTGTGCATTGCGGGTGAGAATGCAAAATGGTACAACCACCGTGGAAAACTACATGGCCGTTCATCAAACAGTTGGACAAACAATTGCCATTTGATCCAGTGATTCCACTGCTGGTTGTGTGCCCAAAAGACTGAAAGCAGGAACTTCCCTAGTGGTCCAGTGGTTAAGAATCCACCTTCTAATGCAGAGGACATGGGTTCAATCCTTGGTCAGGGAACTAAGGTCCCAGATGCCTCAGGGCAACTGAGCCTGTGTGCCACAACAGGAGAATCCATGTGCCACAGCAAGAGAAGCCATCGCACTGCAACTAAAGAAAGCCCACACACCACAATGAAAAGCCCGAACGCTGCCATTAAGACCCAGTGCAGCCACAATAAAAAAGATTGAAAGCAGTGACTGAACAGATACTTATACACCCATGTTCATGGTAGCATATTCACAACAGCCAAAAGGTGGAAACAATTTAAAAGACAATCAACTTACGAATGATCAAATGTTGTGTATACATACAAGGGAATATACTTCAGCCTTTCAAAGGAATGAAATTCAGATATATGCTATAATATGGATGGGACCTTGAAGACATAATGCTAGTAAGTGAAATAAATCAGACCCAAAGGGATAATTATAATATTATATGATTCCACTACTTTGGCCATCTGATGCAAAGAGCCAACTCATTGGAAAAGACCCTGATGCTGGGAGGAGGGCAGGAGGAGAAGGGGATAACAGAGGATGAAATGGTTGGATGGCATCATCGAACTCAATGGACATGAGTTTAAGCAATCTCTGGGAGATGGTGAAGGACAGGGAAGCCTGGTGTGCTACAGTCCTCGTGGTTGCAAAGAGTTGGACATGACTGAGCGACTAAACTATAAGATGATTCCACTTATACAAAATAACTATCATAATCAAATTCATAGAGACAAAGAAAGTAGAATGGTGTTTGCCAGGGTTTGAGGTGGGGGACTTCTAGAAGTTATTGTTTAAGGGGTACAGAGTTTTTAATAAGATGAAAAAGTTCTAAATGGATAGTGGCAATGTGAATGTACTTAATGCTAGTGAGCTGCAGTCTTAAAAATGGCTAAAATTATATATTTTATGTATTCTTCACATTAAAAAAAGGTAACAGAAAAAAACAACAACAATAAATCTTGTGAAAGTTACACTAAAATGTTAAACCCAGGAGAAGAAACTGTATTTGATTCAGAGATTGAACTGTTACTCATTCTGCCACCTGTTTACTGTGTGCGTGTGTTCAGTTGCTCAGTTGTGTCTGACCCTTTGCAACCCTATGGACTGTAGTCCGCCAGGCTCCTCTGTCCATGGGATTTCCCAAGCAAGAATACTGGAGTGGCTTGCCATTTCCTCCTCCAGGGGAGCTCCCCAACCCAGGGATCAAACCTTCGTCTCCTGCATTGCAGGAGGGTTCTTTACCACTGAGCCACCTCAGAAGCCCTGTAGTGGTCTCATTTGATATTCTGCCCACCGTGACCTCTCTCCATTTTCCACACAATTTTTAGAATAATCCACAGAGAAAGATATAGTATAAGGCAAATGGTCACTTACATTGCACATGCAGCCTGAGGGGGTCACTTTTGCTGGAGTTGCCCCTGTTGGAGACCTCACAGTGATAATCCCCGTCGTCCTTTCTGCTGACGGGGTCTATGGTGAGGGTGCTATTGTCCAGGGACAGTGTCATCCCCCTTGTGAGGAGGAGACTCTGGCCTTTGAAGAACCAGCGTATGGAGACCCCAGTCTCATTTGTGAGGCAGGTCAGGACCACGGGACCCTCATGTTCTGTGACGGTGGTGTTGCTGGCTTGGAGGGAGGGCCGTGCCACTGGGTCTGTGGAGAGACAGAGGGGTGACTGCTGAGAGTGGGTCAGGGGCCTGGGCCATGCTCCCTCTCAGAGATCTCAGCCAGCCCCGGGCCCCAGTGACCTCTGTAAAGGTGACCTAGAGGATGGCCCTGAATCTGTGATCAAGGTATGGAGTCTCTCTTCATTGATGATCTGTAAGGAGAGGACTGTACCTCCTCTCTGACCCCCAGGTACCCTGGGATGGCCCCTGACCAGTCTCCCTGGACATCTCCGTAGTATCAGCACCAGGACCCTCTTCTCAGCCCATATGTCTAACATCCTCATCATCAAGTGGAGCTTTTTTTTTTTTTAATTAACTTTCCTGGACCTTTTCCCACAATTTTCTTTGACTATAAAAAATTTCAGGGACTTTTCTGGTGGTCCAGTGGCTAAGACATCACACTCCCAATGCAAGGGGCTCAGGTTTGATCCTTGGTCTGGAAACTAGATCCCACATCCTGAAACTAAGAGTTTTCGTGCCACAACCAGATCTCACATGCCACAACTAAGACCCAGTGCAGCCAAATAAGTAAATAAAAATACATAAATTGAAAAAAATTTAGCCCCCAATATGTAAAATAGCCAGCTAGTGGGAAGTTGTGTATAACACAGGGAGCTCATCCTGGTGCTCTGTGACAACCTGGGCGGGGGCTGGGGGTTGGTAGGGAGACTGAAGAAAAAGGGGACCTTATATACACTAACGGCCAATTCACGCTGTTGTACGGCGGAAACCAACACAACACTGTAAAGCAATTATCCTCCAGTTTAAAAAAAATCAAGTCCCATTCCTTATTTACACTTCCGTGAAGGCAGGCCTGGCAGCTCTGTATATCTCTGGGGCCAAGGGGACTTCCATAAAGTGGGGGAGGCATTCACTTTCTGTTACATAATTTCTTATGGCCCAACTCAGTCTTCCTGGACTGTGTAGAAGAGTTAAATATCTGAGTCAGGGACAGTCTTGTTTTACAGTTTCCCAACAATAACTACCCCTTCATTTTCACTCATCCTGCGTCTGAGACATTAACCTGTTTCTCCCATCACAGGCTGGTGACCCTGAGCCTCTCAAGACAGAGCAGTCTTGGCTCAAGGCTGGGCCTGCCTGGGCTTGCCTGGGACAGGAAGTCATGGCCAGCCTGGGTGTCCAAAGGTGAGGCTCCATGCATTGGGACCTGAGAGGGATGGGTACGGCCTGGCCTCCGGCACTGTAGATTCAGCCAGGTGGCCTGGACCACATAGGAACAGAGGTTACTCACAGAGAACATTCAGGGTGAATGGGTCACTGCGGCGGACACTCACTGGGTTCCGGGCTTCACACACATAGGGTCCTGTGTCATTCCTTGTCACATTGAACACAGTGAGAGTCCTCTTGTCCTCGGACAGTTCCAGCCTGGTGCTGTTGGGGAGGCTCTGATTGTTGATCCACCAGATGTAGGAGGTGTTCTGGGTCTCAGATCCACATGTTAACACCACAGTGTCCTCGTGCTCCCAGGGGTTGGAGTTGTTGCTGGTGATGACGGGTGTGGGTAGCACCGCTGTGCAGATAACAGAGAGAACATTGCCCCTTTTATATCTTGGGTTCCTCTAAAAGCATTTTCAATCAGGGTTGCCATCTTTCTCCTCTCAGCCAGACTGAGCCCTTAAAGAATAAGGCAGGTCTGTGTATCACGAAACAAATGCATGAATATCTGAGCTCAGAGAGTGTGAGGCCATCTGCTCTTATGTCTGGAAGAAGCACAGACTTCCTCAAGTGTCAGTCAGGTGTCAGAGTTTGATAGCATAATCCCAGGCCTGTGACTCAGAGACCACTTGCTTCCTCTGGCCCTGGCTCTGGGGTGCTCACCTGGACTGGGCAGGTCCTGAGTCCCTTCAAGCTGCACAGACCTACATTGCCTGATGGAGACATGTCTTCACCGTCTCCTCAATTCCCAAGGTTTCCTAGAGACGGGTAACGATGGGCATTCCCCTAGTCCTTAAACCCCAAGAAGACTGGGCAGCACAGCCTGGAACAGAAATAACACACGGGGACGTCCCTGGTGGCTCAGTGGTAAAGAATCCGCCTGCCAATGCAGGGGATGTGGGTTTGACCCCTGATACGGGAAGATCCCACATGCCATGGGGCAACTAAGCCCGTGCTCCACAACTACTGAGCCTGGACTCCAGTACCTGAGTGCTGCGACTACTGAAGCCCGTGCCCCGAAACAAGAGAAGCCACCACAGTGAGGAGCCTGTGCACCGCAACGGAGCATAGCCCCCACTCCCTGCAGCTAGAGAGAGCGTGTGTGCAGCAGTGAAGACCCAGCAGAGCCACAAATAAATAAATAAATGGACATTAAAGTTTAAAGAAAAAGAGGACAGAATGAATCAGAGGGCAAGTCGGAGTCTCTGTTTTAAAAAAGGGAGGAATGATCTCAAAGAGCAGAAATGATATGTGCTCAGTCATTCAGTCTTGTCTGACTCTTTGCGACCCCATGGAGCCCTCCAGGCTCCTCTGTCCATGGGATTCTCTAGGCAAAAACACTGGAGTGCGTTGCCATGCCAACCAAGGGAATGAACTCAGGTCTCCCTTACTGTAGGCAGATTCTTTACTGTCTGAGCCAGCAAGGAAGCCCAGAAATGATATGTGTTCTATTAATAAAGTTAGAGGAAGAGGTCCCTCTCGCCAGTTTCCACTGCAAATCAGGCAACTGGGAAGGGGGCCCACCACAGGCGTGTGGCATGCTTGTTTTTTTCTTTCTGCCTCAGAAAACACAACTAAGTGTTTGATCAAATTTGTCTGAGTCGGGCCGAGGCTAAGTGAAAAGACAGTGGCTTGGGCCCCTCATCGTCGGAGAGCATCCCACCCTGTGATAAAGGTGACATCCTGAGGACACACGGGTGATGAAGTAGGCAATAAAGCAATCAGATGGCACAGGTCTGTCAGTCCCATCCTGGGAAGGTCTTGGGAATCCCTGAGAGGAACGGGAGGGTCACACCAGGACAAGGCTGTGAGTCACAAGTTAAAGAGGTGAAGTGAGCCCATGAGCCCCTGGGGACTGCAGACCTGTCTTGCTGCCTTTAGCTTCCTGCTTGAGTTACATTAGGGAATAGATCAGTGGGGGGGGTGCTACATATCCTTGTCACGTGGCATGATTCCACCGGCTGGCACCATGGAGGGAAAGACCCCTGGACCAAGGCAAAGCTGAAGTTCATTCTCCTGGTGACCTGGGGAAAGTGGCTTGTGCTGGGGCCCCACAGAGGCTGCTGCTCCCAGATTTCTGAGTCCTTTACTATTGCCTGGGAGGGTGCACCTGGCCAGAAGCCAGGCTGGGAACAGGGCAGTCAGTTATTTGGGGAAGTATCTGTGGAAGGCTTAAGGATTTGGGGGGGTGGTGGGCGGTGCTTCCCCAGTGGCTCAGCTGGTAAAGAACCTGTCTGCCAGTGCAGGAAACATGAGAAACATGAGTTTGGGAAGATTCCCTGGAGAAGGAAATGGCAACCTGCTCCAGTATTCCTGCCTGGAGAGTTCCGTGGACAGAAGAGCCTGGCAGGCTACAGTCCACTGGGTCACAAAGAGTCGGATATGACTGAGCAACTAACACTTTCACTTGCCAGTATTCTTGCCTGAAAAAATTCTATGGACAGAAGAGCCTGGCGAGCTCCTACAGTCCTTAAGATTGCAAAGAGTCAGACATGACTAAGTGAATGAACAAGGGTGGGGGGCGGGGGCTTCCTTAGTGGCTCAGCTGGGAAAGAACCTGTCTGCCAATGCAGGAGATGCAAGAGACCTGAGTTTGATCCCTGAGTTGGGAAGATTCCCTGGAGAAGGAAATGGCAACTGGCTCCAGTATACTTGTCTGGAAAATTCCATGGACAGAGGAGCAAACAGTCAAACATGACTGAGAGTGCACGCACGAATCTCAGGGCAGGTTGCTGTGCAGAGCAGGGCCAGTCCCGGCTGAAGTGAAGGAGGAAGGTGAGAGACATGGAAAGAGCAGAGAGCGAGAAATATCCACTTACAAGCGACTTCAAAGTGGGGGTTTCAAGTGACTTCAAACATCCAGAGGTCTAAGAGCCCCACTGCGGCCCAGAAGCAGGCCCCCTGCCCCCCACCCCTGGAAACCCTCCCACGGCAGAGCAGCCCCACAGCTGCGGTGAGACTCGGCTCCCAGTGCGCTTTAGAGGCAGGTGGTCAGAGGATAAAACACCAGTCCCCTCCCTGGAAAGACAGGCGGCAGGTGTGGCTAGAGCTTCCTAGGACACTGCATCCAGATTCCAGGGTCTGAAGAGATCACAGATCATTCATCCGTCCTTTTCCCTTCCATTCTTCCTCCCCCAGAGAAACACTGAGAGCCTGTCAGGCCCTGCGCTGGGTGCAGGTGTAGATGGGGAGTGAGGAAGTAGACTGAGTCCTTTCCATTTTACTCCAGTGGGAGTGACACCCAACACTTTCAGTAAACAGCAAATAAATGATTTCTGGTTCACTCAGTTCGAGGAGCTTGCACATCCCCTAAGGAGGGGAGGCCTGGACATTCCTGTCACTAATTTGATTGTTGATGCAGGTAATTTGCAAGAATCCTGGACTGGGTTGCCATGCCCTCCTCCAGGGTATTTTCCTGACCCAGTGATCGAACCTGTGTCTCTTACATCTCCTGTATTGGCAGGTGGGTTCTTTACCACTAGAGGCCACCTGGGAAGCTCTAGTTGCAGAGTAAACGGGATTAACTGTCCATTTCCCTTAACTTTTCACACTAGAATCTCCTTCTGGTTGAGGATGCCCAAGGAGAAAGGATCTGAACCAACACTTGGTTTCCGGGTTCCTAGATAAGGCCCCTGGGAGGGAGGAGAGGGTGGGGCTGTGATGTTGGCCTGACCCTTCCACACATATTTCCCCTGACTGGCCACTCATGATCTGTGTGACTCTGATTCACTGACTGTATCTCCCTGTATTTTACTGAGCTTGTCTTCAGTAAAACAGAATAAATGGTAAATGGTGTCAGGAGTGCCATGTTGTCTGTGCATTAACCTTAAATCATGAATAATTAGCTGGTCTAAAGCTAGACATAGAAACTGTTTCTAGGGACTTCCTGGTAGTCCAGTGGTTAAGAATCTGCCCTGCAATGCTAGAGATGCAGGTTCTGCTGGTTTTGGAACTAAGATCTCACAGGCCTCGGAGTAACTAAGTGGACCAACAAAGCCCGGGAACTACAACGAAAGATCCTGTATGACGTAATGAAGACCTGATGCAGCCTAATAAATACATAAATAAATATTTTTAAAAAGAAAACCCTGCCTCTATTATTATTCGCGTCCACAGGAGTGGGCTCCCTGGGCTGCCCACTGTGGGATGAGGAGCTGCCGGGAGGGTCTTCTCTCTTCTGGTCCTTCTTGGGGACGCTGACCTTCCTCTGGAGACTCCACTGAGGCCCAGGGAGTCGGCTAATGGCGTGGGGACCCAGCCTAGCCTGCTCTCCATGCTGAGTCTCAGGGGAAGGACTGGACTTCACCCCTGCTCAGACACGGCTCTTGGGGCTGAGCCCTGGCCAGTGACCTGCTGAGAAACCTTGGCCTCAGGGAGCTGGGGCATCATCCACCCCAGTCAGCCCCGCCTAGGAGGCCAACACCCACCGGCGGCACGGTTCTCCGTGGTCACTGGAGCCGGGACCCTGGGACAGGGTCTAGGGAGGGGCTTCCCCGTGGGCCTGAGCTTCTCTGTGAGGATCCCTCAGGCCAGGCCCCTACTGAGTCCTGCAGGGTCTTCCTTAGGGTCATGGTTGCAGGGAGGGACCCAGGGGGGCTGGACTGAGAGTTCTCTCCCTTTGCTGAGTCCCTCCCATCAGACCGTCCTTCTTTCTGCACGGTGTCTGCAGGGTCCAGATCCCCTGAGTGGAATTCTGACCCTTTGGAGTTTGTCTCCATTATGTGTGTCCTGCACTAAATGTTCAACCCCCAACACGGCACATAATGTAGAGGGAGATGGAGGCACCATCCGGGTCTGTCAAAGCAGAATTCAACTGCTTCCCACACCAACACCCAGAGGTAAGAGGAAGCACTCACGGTGTATGTTGAGGTGTCCAGTCTGTCTTTCTGTCTGTAAATCATTCTTTAAAATGAGCAGGGTGTAGGATCCTGTGTCTTTCTGGGTGATGTTCTGGATCAGCAGGGTTCCATTGGGGTAAATTGTCTCCCGTCCACTGTGTACAGACCCACTGGTAGTTACATTAGTGTCTGCTCTATATGATGCAATTAGCAGGCTGTTTTCTACCCTTTCTCCTCTGTACCAGGAATAGCCTAGAGGATTCTCTGTCACGTTGTGGGCAAGTAGAAGAACATCCAATCCTTCTGCAGCAAGTGGGGGCACCACTTCAATAGTGAGCTGGGCAGTGGTGGGCAGGGGCCAGAAAGTTAAGAGTGAGACTAGGAGGGAAGAGAGAGAAATCAGTTAATATTCTGACCTGTGTGGGGGATGGGAAAATGGTGCCCGGGGTCCTAAGCAGCTCTCTTCATCTCTTAGCCTGTGTGTGTCTGTGTGTGTCTGTGTGTGTGTCCTCCTGGTTCAAGGTCAGCAGCATGACCCCCATCACTTCAGCCCCTCTGGGCTCTGTATTTTCTCTGTTTCCCCGGCTGTCCCCCGGCTCTCTCCCTCACTGCCCTCACACACCTGCTCACACTCAGAGGCCTCTTGGGAGATGTCCTCCCCCCACCCCCCACCTGCTCTAAAGGCCCTCCGTGTTCACTTGCTGACCCTTCCCTGCTCCATTTCCTGCATGACGCCTGTCAGCGCCTGACAGCACATTCTAGATCTCTCTGCTTGTCTGTCTTCCTCCCCACAGAGCGTGGGCTCCATGAGGGCAGGGGCTTGTCTGATCCTGCTTGAAACGCAGTGCCAGGACCAGGCTCCAGACATTGTACCTGGGGATGAAGGAATGAGAGGTCCCAGGAATTCCACAGTTTGGTTTTGTCAGTTTCTGAGGGTGCTGGGTAAGGACAATGTTTAGTGTCGCGGTTGTGTTTTTCTGTAGTGACACCCAGACATAAGTTATTATTATCGTCATCAGTTTTCAACAGTTACTGCTCAGTGAAGAATAACTTGTAAAAGCTACACTAGTTGAAGTTTTCCTGCCCCTCACCAGTTCTAGTTCACGGAGAGTCTCCTGTGGCTGAGCCCCCGGCCCTAACCTCCCTGCTCCCCTGTCCTCTGCCCTCAGGTCTGAACAGAAGTCCTCTGTCCCCTCTCAGAGCCCTGTCTCCCCCAGTGATCCCACCCAGTCTCCCTGAAAACTGTCTCTGCCCACTCCCTGAAAATTGTCCCCACTCACCTGCCAGCAGGAGCCTGTTCCAGGGGACATACCGCCTGCGGGAAGGGCCTGAGGGGGGCTCCATGGTGCCTGCTGTCTGCTGCGTCCCTCTCTCTGTGAGGAGAACTTCTGCTCCAGAAACGCTCACAAGCCCTGCAGTCGCCCTGTGAGCTCTGCTTCCCCCTCTTTGCTGGGCCTCCTCCCGGGGCAGACTACTTGCTAGTTCAAGAGGCCCGGGGGCGGGGTCTCTGCCCAGGCCCCACCCTCTCCCTCCCCACTCATTCCCGCCTGCCTTCTCTCCTCTTCCCTCTTCCCTTTCTGTTACATTTCATTTGTCTGGGAAGCGCTGCTGTTTCTGCCTTTGGCAGCTTGACTTCTCACCCTAGACACACACACACGTATGCAGTTCCCCCACTGTTGGGGAGAGCACCTCCTTGGGGCTCCTGTCCTGGGCGTTCCCCCGTAGGTCTCAGTTGGGGGGTGCAGTCAGCCTCCCCGCTTCCACAGTCTCCAGCCTCATGTTCTCCTTCTGGCTTTCCCCTGCAGAGAAGGAGCCTGGGGGGTGGGGAGGAGGTGCATCGGGAATTCTAGTCATAGGGACAGTGTCCCCACGGTGCATGGGAACCACCTGTGAAGCTTCATGAAGACTTTGAACCCCCCAGAGGGACCTTAGGAAAGCTGCTTCAGCAGCCACACAGGTCATGTGCTTGCCCAGCCTGGCTGAGACTCCAGAATGTGGGGCGGGAGCAGCCTCTCCCCAACTTCGATGCACAGGGAGGGTCTGCAGATCCTGTTCAAATGCAGAGCCCGACTCAGCAGGGGTGGGGTGGACCCGAGAGTCTGCATCTAACAAGCTCTCGGGTGATGCTGACCATACTGGACTGTGGAGCACACTTTCTATAGCAAGGCTGATGGTGACAAGTCAACCGAGAGGCCGACCCCCCCCCCCCCCCCACCAGTGTCGGCCTCTGCCGTGTTCTGGTCTGGGGTCTGTCAGCACGACACAGAGACCCCAGGATCTCCGAAGGAGGATATTATTCCCCTTTGTAACACTGGGGGCTTCCCTGGTGGCTCAGCTGGTAAAGAATCCGCCTGCAATGCAGGAGACCAGGGTTCAGTTCCTGGGTGGGGGAGATCCTCTGGAGGAGGGCATGGCAACCCAGTCCAGTATTCTTGCCTGGAGAATCAGACGGACAGAGGAGCCTGGCGGGCTACAGCCATGGGGTCGCAAAGAGTCAGAGGCGACTGTCACGTTGAGGGTCTTCCCACGGTTCTCAGAGGCTGTGAGAAGGTTGTGTTCTATTCCCATCGGAAGCCTCCAGAAAAGGACTGAGGGGCTGGAAAGGGGGTGTGAGTAACGCCGGGTGAGAGGGATCCTCCTTCTTTCTCCTTGGGGGTCTAGTGGGGCCACAGCTTCCAGGGGACACACACCGAAGACCTGAAGGAATAGTAGTTCCTCATGGTGTGAAGTGGGCCACGCCTGGCTGTATGGAGGAGGTGCTGGAGCCCAGTGTGGGGGGCGTGGAGAGCGAGGAGGACTGTGGACTGAGGTGACACCGGTGAGGGTCTGACTGCTGGGCTGAGGGAGGTCTGACACCCTTGGGGAGACTCGAGGCCGTGGAGAAACTCTGCTGCCCTCTGGTGGACAGCGGAGGAAATGCAGCAGTCCCCACACCACGGGGTTCTGCCTAACATCATGAGGGTCTTTGTTGCTGCGTCGGAGAAGGCAATGGCGCCCCACTCCAGTACTCTTGCCTGGAAAATCCCATGGACGGAGGAGCCTGGAAGGCTGCAGTCCATGGGGTCGCGAAGAGTCGGACACGACTGAGCGACTTCACTTTAAATTTTCACTTTCATGCTTGGAGAGGAATGAAGGAAATGGCAACCCACTCCAGTATTCTTGCCTGGAGAATCCCAGGGATGGGGGAGCCTGGTGGGCTGCCTTCTATGGGGTCGCACAGAGTCGGACACGACTGAAGTGACTTAGCAGCAGCAGCAGCAGCAGCAGTTGTTGCTGTGTACGGCCTTTCTCTAGTTGAGGAGCGTGGGATTCTCATTGTGGTGGCTTCTCCTGTTGCGGAGTTCCCTGCCTGAATTTCCTTATTATTATTAAAAAACGAAAATGTTTTTTCTACTTTTGGTCGCGCTGGGTCTTTGTGGCTGCACTCAGGCTTTCTCTCGTTGCGGTGAGCAGGGGCTACCCTTCGGTGCGGTGCACATTGCGGTGGCTTCTCTGGTTGCGGAGCAGAGGCTCTAGGGCACGCGGGCTTCCGTAGCTGTGGCTCTCGGGCTCAGTAGCTGTAACACTGAGCTTAGTTGCTCTGAGGCGGGTGCGATCCTCCCGGCTCAGGGATCAAACCCATGTCTCCTGCATTGGTGGGTGGATTCCCAACCTCTGGACCACCAAGGCAGCCATGGATGGTAGTTTGGGCAGAGACATTTGCTTGCAGAGAAGGCAGGTCTGTATCCAGAGTACCTGCCGGTCCCAGTAAGAACAGAAGGCTGCCCTTTTACCACGGAGAAGGTTCACTGCAGTCAGCCTGCCACCAGGTAACTGGCTGATCACCCTGGGGAGCAGTGCCCTACCTGAGGCCCGGCGGGTCTTGGGGTTGACAGACTGGGCCCCCAGCGGTGGCTGTAGCCAGGTCAGCCTTGGTGAGTGGAAGTCTGTGTTGCTGAGTCCACGTATGACTTGCATCCTCACCGCCGTGGCCACTACATTTGTGAGCCCACCAGTGGAAGGCAGGGGTAGCTGGGGAAAGAGGCTGACTGGGGCTTCCCTGGTGGTCCTGCCGTTGAAAATCTGCCTGGCAGCCCAGGGGATGTGGGTTCGATCCCTGGTCTGGGGCAACTAAGCCCGTGTGCCACAACTACTGACCCTGGGCCCAGAGCCCACGGGCTGCAACTACTGAGGACCGAGCACCCTAGAGCTTGTGCCCTGCAACAAGAGAAGCCACTGCGGTGAAGAGGAGCCCCCACTCACTGCAACTAGAGAAAGCCCGCGCACGGCAATGAAGACCCAGTGCAGCCAAAAATAAGTAAATAAATGTAAAAAAAAAAAGAGGCTGACAGGTGTCCACAGAACAGGTCATTCTATCCACTTGATTATTTAAATCTCCTGCTGAGGTGAACGGTGAGCATTCAGAGATGTTTATCCATATATTTCTGTCCCAGATCTCCTTGACACCAATTTTCTAGTCATGTTCTTAACCAAATCCCTGACGGCCCAGCCAAGCCATTGGCCACAGCCCGTGAATCAGTGTATAATCACACCTCTGGCCATTCTTCCTTCCAAGTGAAATGGACAGTCAGGTGCCCGGCCTGAAGTTCCTTCCCCTGCCCCCGCCCCCCCCCAGAGGATTTCTCTTCACTATGGCTTTCAGGGAAGTTTCAGAAAGGGTCTGTCGTGCTGCAGTTTTTCTCTTTCACGTGGTGTCTGCACATCAAGCAGAACTCTCTGTAAACTAGCCCCAAGTTTTCTCTTTTGCCATTGATTGATCAGCGGGACTTCTCCAGGGGGCCACAGGTGTGGCTCAGAGAGAGAGGCCATGTAACAGGAGAGGGATCCATGGTACTTGGGCTACTACTTCTTTGTTAATTAAGTTTTGGCTGCGCTGGGTGTCTGTTGCTGTGCACGGCCTTCTTCTAGTTGTGGTGCGCAGGCTTCTCCTTGTGGTGGCTTCTTTTGTTGCGGAGTGCAGGCTCCAGGCCCTCGGCCTTCGGTCCTTGAGGCCACAGGTCTAATTGCTCTGAGGCATGCTGGATCTTCTCATACCAGGGATTGAACTCATGTCCCCTGCCTTGGCAGGCGGATTCTTAACCACTGGACCACCAGGGAAGTCCTGGGATTATTATTCAAAGATACAACTCAGGAACAGGCTTTCCAGGTGGCGCTAGTGGTAAAGAACCCACCTGCCAATACAGGAGACATTAAAAGACACAGGTTTGATCCCTGGGTCAGGAAGATCCCCTGGAGGAGGGCATGGCAACCCATCCCAGTATTCTTGCCTGGAGAATCCCAAGGACAGAGGAGCCCAGCGGGCCACAGTTCATAGGGTCACAGAGTCAGACACGACTGAAGGGACTTTGCATGCACGCATAACTTGGGAACAGCCAGATGGAAAGAGGTATGGGGATAAGAAGACAAGGTATGAGGAAAAGAGTCAGACATGACTTAGTGACTAAACAACAAAAATATTCCATCGTATATATGTACTACATCTTCTTTATCCATTCTGCTGTTGATGGCCACTGAGGTGGCTTCCATATCCTGGCTATTGTAAGTAGTGCTGAAAAAGATACATACACCCCAAGGATTCTGGGTCTTTAAGCTACGAATTGACTGAGGGATACTGACTCTTTTTTTTTCTTGATTTTATTCACCTTTTGTTCACTTGATTTAGAGCTCTTTCATGTATACTGCCATTGTTCTCTGTTGAGTCAGACTCCTCTGATTGCAGCATTGATTCTACTGTCCATTATGGGGAGCATGGCCCACCTTGCCTTTGGTGATTAAGTACTGGCTCAGTAGACATGAATTTGAGCAAACTCTGGGGAAATAGTGGAGGACAGAGGAGCCAGGCCTGCTGCAGTCCATGGGGTCACAAAGACTTGGACACGACTTAGCAACTGAACAACAAATGCCTCTTAGAACTGCTGCCTCTCGAGCTAGTTACCCTCATTGCATTGAGGTTTCCCACTTCTGTGGCAGCGGTTCCCACTGTAATTTCCGAGCTCCAGAGAAGAGCCATCGCAGAGCTAGCTCTTCAAGGCTGCTGGGGCTTCCTTACAAAGTCGTATCGCACTGTCGTGGTGAAAGCTGTGTGCTCTGAACTCTCCCAGGGTATTGGTGAGAAGGTCTCAAATGATAAATCCATACAGCATTCCAATCTAAGTCTTTGGATCCCTGTCTCTGAGTAAATGGTCTCTTCTCTGGTGCAGAGACCTCCTTGTGTTTCCATCAAGATAAACATAGATAGGTGGGAAACTTAGCAGTAACCTGTGCTGGGTCTGCGTTGCTCAGGTCTTTCCCTAGTTGCGGTGCTCGGGCTTCTCACTGCAGTGGCTCCGCTTGTTGCAGACCAT